GTAAAAATAAAAGTATAAAATTTAATTTGAATTGATTAGTAAACAATTTATTAAACGTGTGAAGTGTGATGATTGTGGTCAGTTTTAAAGATTTTGCCAGGGCCTCGCAAAACCTAACGACGGCGCTGCCTGTCSATTTAACTATCTGTCTATATGTACGCGTATCGTATAATAGTATATAAGGTCATATTACGGTCGTACAGTGTAACATGCAACTATTATATGTACTTATAGCATTCAATTCGGATGTGTTCCACTTACCTAGAATATCGGGAACCAATTCGGATGTGTGTTTCGTGGAATGTCGGGAACTAATTCGGATGTCAATTTCAGGTATGGGAACCAATTCGGAAGCAGYCATGATTTTTACACGGGTATCTAATCCACTTGGATCATCAATATTACATAATATTATATTAGTTTATGAATAGGAAACAATAAGTAGCCACAACGAATTATTCGATAAATAAATTTAATTTGAATTCATATTTTGAAAAAAAAGTAGGTACAATAACAGATTTCTAATACTTAAAAAAGTATTTTTTCATTTTTTTATAGTTTTATAAATAATTATCATACAGGTTATTTTTATATATTTAATAATAATAAATAGGTACTCTTATCAAAGTCAATTAAACGTTTTAATATAGGTATATAGATTCGGTGGCTGGACTGACGGTTCATTCATGGGTAGTAAGCAGCTGTGTAYGGGGAAGCCAAGGTCTTGGCCACGTACGGGTAGGTCGAGTAAGCAGAGACGTACSGCGAAGCTACTGCAGCATATGGCGCGGCRACGTAAGGGCTGGCTGCGTATCGTGCGGCCACGTAAGGTGACGCGGCCACGTAAGGCGATGCGGCTACGTAAGGCGAGGCGGCGGCGTATGTTGCGGCCACATATGGTGAGGTTGCCAGCGGGACGATCACCGTCCGTTTGTTCCGGTTGGTGTYTGATTGAGCCGATGATGGCGACGTCTTAGTTTCGGCGGCGACTAGGCACACGACCATGGCGAGCAGAGCGAATGATGCCTGCAGGAATATAATAAACGTATAATATTAATAATGATAATATGATAACGATTCGATAATTATGTTAAACAATTGTCTTATATTATACATAAAATATAATCGCGGAATACGTTTCAAATAAAATTAAAATGGTACCGAATAAATATTAAACGTTGAAAAGTACATAGTGTATCAAGATGATCTTAAAAAAATTCACATGATGGAAATCAGTCTACACATTGTCAATACTCTGCAGCGCGTACCGCAGTTGAGGTATATTATAAAATAATATATATTATTAACTACCTATAGGTGTGATGTCGACTGTCGTAGAATTCGTGTTGATGACWTAGATTTAAAAAAGATATGATTTTAGACTTACTTGAAATTGCATGGTKATTTCGTTGGTAAGTTAGTTTTTGAGTGTCTGGTGAATATAATGCAGAATGTGCAGATGTATGATTGAAGACGGACGAAAGACTGATACTAACCACTGATCGGAACGTCCGTTTTATACTGTCCATTTGGCCTAGAGACGCTCAATTACCATTTTGCACTCAATATTCATATCCAATTACAAAACGAACATCGGTGCCAAAATATTAAAAACGATAATCATATAGTGTTACATACTATAATTGAAATTATATATTTTAAAACTGTCACTCTCGTTTACAAYAATGCGTTCTACGTTAGTAGCATATTGGCCGACTGCACTGTTACGAAATGTCACTCTAGAAGTAGCTACCTAGTAGGTACCTACCTCTTCAGCGGGCTTAGTAATTTAATACACATGATTTGTTTTTTGTTTTTAGACTGAAAAATAGTTTTATCGGACTATTTTACATTGTTATTATTCGACGTTGTATTAGTTCTTATGATTTAGTTTATCTATGCAATCATAGTTATAATATGTATTTATTAACATGTTGTAAATCAGATATCAATATTATTAAATATTAGGTACACCTACTCTTGTTATTTGTTACCACAATTTGCATCATACAAATATTAAGAAATCGGCAACACAGAATATTTTCATCGTTGTGTTTATCTGACAATATAGACAAGGATTTTGTAAATGAAGGTCTGAGTTTTACATTTTAAAAGATTAAAACTATAAAAATAATATCCTAAATTACCACTAGTTTTATTTAATAAATTGTATTTTAAAACACGGTTATTATATATGTAGCTATAAAGTACATAATATGGTACAATACTAATTCATGAGGCGTAAAACACTCATTATTATAAAAACTATTTACTTTTTTCAAAATTTTAGATACATGCTGTTCTAAAACTATATAAATTTTTAATATTTTTAATCCTTATATTTATTAGGTAAACCACTATCAACTGTTAATTTTTAAATGGTAACCTATATTAAAAATATCWTTAATTAATGASGCTATTTTTTTAATACATTTTCACGTTTAAATTTTCATTTTTCGTTTAACCGTTGACGAGATATAGTCTCCCAAAGTTGGATGGTTTTGGGGTGGTGTTTGT